CGTCCCGACACCCCCATCCATGGCAGCTCCGCTTTTGAGACTCCCCAACCCGCAATTTCCCGCCCGGAACCCACCGACGGCACCCCCCACGCTCCCACCACGTCCCGACACTCCCATCCACGGCAGCTCTGTTCTTCGGACCTCCCAACCCGCAATTTCTCGCCCGGAACCCACCGACGCCTCCCCCCCACGCTCCCACCACGTCCCGACACCTCCATCCACGGCAGCTCTGTTCTTGGGACCCCCCAACCCGCAATTTCTCGCACGGAACCCACCAGCGCCCCCCCATAGCTCTCACCACGTCCCGACACCTGCATCCACGGCAGCTCTGTTCTTGGGACCCCCCAACCCGCAATTTCTCGCACGGAACCGCTATCCGACCGCCCTCACCCACTCTACACACGCCCCGAACACCCCCCATCCACGGCAGCTCCGTTCTTGGGATCCCCCAACCCGCAATTTCTCGACCGCAACCCACCGACGCCCCCCCCCACGCTCCCACCACGTCCCCCCCCCACGCTCCCATCACGTCCCGACACCCCCATCCACGGCAGCTCCGTTCTTGGGACCCCCCAGCCCGCAATTTCTCGCCCGGAACCCACCGACGCCCCCCCTCACGCTCCCACCACGACACCCCCATGCACGGCGGCACTGTTCCTGGGCCTCCCAACCCGCAATGTCTCGCGCGGAACCCACCGACGCCCCCCCGACGCTCCCATCACGTCCCGACACCCCCATGCACGGCAGCTCTGTTCTTGAGACCTCCCCATCCCGCAATTTCTCGCCCGGAACCCACCGACGCCCCCCCCCCGCTCCCACCGCGTCCCGACACCCGCATCCCGTGGTCCCGTGGTGTCCCCAAAAATGAAATCGATAGTGAGATCGATAGTGAGATCGACAGGTGTCCCGTGGTGTCCTGTTGAATGAGATCGATTGTGAAGTCGATCGTCATATCGATACTGTGATCGATGCGATGCCCCCAGGTGCCCAACCAGCATTCTGTGCTGAAGGATTCAGCGAATAAGGTTCTCCGTAACATCGTCCTTCTCCGCATCCATGAACCACGTCGTGACCTCCTCCTGCTCCTCCTGCGTGACCTCCTCTTAGTATTCCTCCTTCTCCTCTGTAATATCCTCCTTCTCCTCCGTAACCGCCTCCTTCTCCTCCTCCTGATCCTCCATCCACTCCTTCTCCTCCTCCTCCTCCTTCTCCTCCTCCGTAACCTCCTCCTTCTCCGCCTCCTTGCTGCCCCCCGCTCTCCTCCTCCCCATGGAACCAGCACGCTACTAATTAGCACCGCAAACAAAAGTAAAAAAGTCCAGACCTTCTTTGGGGTCGGCGGCAGAGGCGGCAGCCTTTAGATAAGCATCACCAGCATCATCGTTATCAAAATCGAAGTAAAAACCAAAATCATCATTAGCATCGTCCACGTCATCCTCCTCATCATCCTCGTCGTCGTCGAAAGAATGCGGATCCTCCGACCTCCTCGGAACCCACCCTCCCAGGTGCTAGCAGCAGCACGGCCAAGACTGTCATGTGCGCCGAGCTGCCGAAGGGGCGCCAGATCTTCGGCCAGATAGATGACCTGTTCGGCGAGCACGAGTCGGGCGTAGGAGGACGGCGAGGTCAGCGACTAGGGCGTCGAGGAGGCCGTCGAGTGCAGCCGCGCCGCCGAGGAGGTGATCGACCCGAATGCCGACGAGCAGGAGGCGCTGTGGCAGCTCAAGCTAGACAGGGCACTTGCGGACGATCGCAAAGCGTGGAGGTCACCACCCGAGCACGCCCAGCAGGCCACGGCGCACCAGCTCGACCCCCACGGCGACAACGAGACGGGCGCGCAGTACGGAGCTCGGGCGCACGCAGTTGAACAGTACTACTGCACAACGCCCGCGACCGAGGTAACCGAAAGGCGCAACTTCAGCGGCAGAGCGGAGGAGGTGCGCTCCACGAAGAGGAAGGTCAGGTTGGGTTATCACGTCAGCACGGGCCTGAACAGGCCCAACAGGTGGTGGGACACGCTGGCGCCCTACCTGGCGCAACTGCAGAGGCGCGGGCGGCACGGGCGCGAGGGCCGTTCGCCATTCGAGCGTTGCGCCTGGACGCGGGCGGCCCCGTCCCAAGCGGTGGCAGCGCGA